CTCAACGGGGGATGTAGGTGTTTGAAGCGGTCACCGAACTTCCGGGGCTACGGCCAAAACAATTCTTTGTGTTCATTCTTTAATTTCTGCAGTTTACTTTACTGTTTGAGATTATTATTTGTTTCAATACTCACATCGTGATGTAGTCTGGGCCTTACATAGACTAAATTGTAAGACTAAACTTGATGGGGACATATCAAATTTGGGCAATTAAACAACCTTTTAGCAGCATTCTCGACATACTGTCTTTTAGCTACTTTTGTTGACAGTATGTAGGGAAATTCTATTGAGAAAAGCAGCTTAAAACGTGGCTGTTAAGCACGGCCAAACATCCTCTTAGTCAAACACTCAGTGTCCTGCAATAGAAGAAGGTTTTGATCTATGGTAGAAAATGACAAGAACAAATCTACGGCATTTCATTGATTAATCATAATACCAAACAAGACAACAAAATATCAGCAAAAAGCCTTACAAAGAATATTTCGTGTCAAATGACAACTAAAAATCAGATAAAACCTTGTTATTATCTGGCTAATTCTATATTTCAAAACTAGAACTTAACAGCATTTCCTGTGAGTGGTATACAAGTTTCAATCTTTCCTATATTGCATGTATAATGAATATGCCTTATCTCTACAAGAGACATATATGCAGAGCTTGTATTTCTTGATTTATGCCCTTCAATTTTGCTTAGAGTAATACCATAGTTTTTTCTGACAAATTAAAATCTTCTCCTTTTCAGAATCATATTCGGTATCCTCTTTACGACATCCCCATCTCATCCCCTTGGCTATGGTAGCAACAGAATCCACGAAATAGCTCGATTCCCGGATGATCACGTACCCATTTGGCCGGAGGATTCGGTCCATCTCAAGAAGAATGTACTTCGCTTCGCACCTGGCCATGGATAAATATGTCAATACAACAAGTCTTGCTAGTAAAAAGCAAACGAAGTAATGCCTTCACTGTTAGTGCATCATTTTGCAAGTGAATTTTTGGTAATAAACAAGATTTTAACTTATTTTTCTTTTGAAATATCTCCAGTATTATCTAATCCTCCCTACCAAAATGCCATTAGATAATGCTGATGAAGTGAAAATATCGACAACAACGTGATGCAGCCACAACCACAAGACCTTTGACCCCAAGGGTTCGACCACAAGTAATTTCATTGTACTACTAGATCAAGGTCTTCAAGGCAATCTAGATTTAAGAATGATTTAATTTTGTAAATTATGCAGTTTGGTTAGAAACTTTAACAAGGTACCAGATGTGCTGACATCTAAATGAAAATAATAACTGAACAATTTGAGGTCACTTTCTTCTTAGCAATTGTAAGAATTTGCATGGCATTATCATTGACCCTAATGGTTTGCCTGGTTTTTTGTTGAGAATTCTAAAATTGGAAAGGAATTTGACAATTCGCAGGGTATGGTATCGACCAAGAAAATAAATCTACATGAACTCATCAAAGAAAGATAGTGACGGTGCTATACCTGTGACTTTCAGCAGTGAAAAAACCGTCTAGGTGAAGGAGATCATATGTTCGAGGATATGTGGAGAAAGCCTCACACCTGGAAAAATATAATAGAGCAAGTCAAAATAATTCAGACAAGTAACATGAGAAAGTTTATGTAGATACGATGTTTCAATTTCCACAAAAATTACCAGTCATGGTAGGTTCCTATGAGGCCCCTGTCATACACGACAGGAAGTGTGTTTGCAGCGTAGGAGGAAACTACATTCATGACCCACAAGGGATAGTCACTTAAAGCAGCAGCAAAACCTCCGTACAGAGTGTTCATGTCCATCACATTTCTTATTTTATCCGTCCCGATTGCAGGGACCAACTTCTTGTAGTGCTTCATCCGTGTTTTCCATTTGCTGTCATCGTGGTTAAAAGCACCATCGCTGCCACCACGAACATCAGAAACACGCTCTGGAGCTGCATGAAGTCTTTGTGGCCATTTCGGGAGGGACTTTAAAGCTACTTTCTTGTACTTGGGGTTCGGAGAAACAACACAGGGCCGAATTGGAGTGTACCATGCAGAATCTGGTTCAGTACCATCATCACACTTCGGGGGGTAAATGTCAGGGTTCTCGAGCTTTTTATAGCAACTGTTGTCGGATGACTTCTGCCAAACAGCAATGTCATCTTTTTTGTTATATAACTTGAAACACGTTGAAGTTAGCAATTCTTGCAACTTTTCATAATCTGATCTCTGTTCTTCAATAGTTGTGTTCCATCCTCTCCAGCGGTGCTCGTAGTTTACTGGAGGACCCGATAGTACCCAGAAACCCCCTGGCCGAAGTATACGATGCACTTCTAGAAGATAAATTCCACCTGAAAAGACAATTAGGATACAAGATGAACATCAACTTATGAAGAGTAAATCAACAACCCTTAAATGTTTAAGCGTTAATCCTAGCCACCATGATGACAATCTTATGGAGAAATATACAAGGAAAAAAGCAACAAGTAAATTTGTAATCAAGAGAACCTCAAGCCTGTTATGATTCACAGGCATTGACGACATACTTGGACAAGATTTCATGTTTAACTTATCATGTTGAAGTCTGAACAGAAGAATGAGGTTTGGAGGCAGGGGAGAAAAAACATTCCTAACAACTAACTTATGTTGGATTGTAAAATCTTTGCTCCGCGAAGGTATTTACCAAATTCAGTCCATGGAATAAGGCATCTTGAGCAATGCGCCATGTCAAAAGAGTTCGAAGGGAAAGGAAGTCTCTGTGTCGAGATAATGCCCAGAATTGCTGGAATCCCACGTTCCAGAGCAAATTGAACTTGAGCCTCATGATTATCTCTTGGGGCAAGCGAGACTGTTAGAATCCCACGATCCAATAAATCACCTCCCCAGCTAGCAACCTAAACACATGAAGAGAATATAAAAATGAATCTCAAAGATAAATTTAACAATTACATGTTTTCTGAAGGTTAAAATTTTCCTCTCTTATATTACATACAATATTCACTTTTCACTGCAAGGGTAGCAGTGAACCTCGAGCCTTGTTCTTAGGTTGTTGGTATATAAACAGTGGAAATAACAATATTATAGTCTTTTAGAACCAATGTGTTGACATTAATAAGAAAAAATCTTATTAGAGTACAAGCACACAAAGAAGAGGACTTACTCCGCAACCAGTATCAATTGCAGTCCGAATAGTCCCATCTTTCATTCCCGGTATCAGATCTTGCATCAAATCAACATAGGCACTAACACCATTGGGGAACATGGTGCCGCCACCAGGGAAGAAGAACTTCTCCCCTTCTTTCCTAAGCCAGTGTTGATTCGACTTTTGTTTGTTAATCCAGTCGTATGGAACATTTCTGAGACCAATTCAATAATAAATTGCGTAAGATTTTATGGAAGATAATACTGTCATACATACATTCACCAAAATGGTTTTGGATGAAATTTTCCTTATTAAGTTCAGGAAAATGTCTATCACCTGTACCAGCATTCATCTCTGCTCTTAGGCCATCTGATGGGTAACTTATAGCCATCAGGTGGGGGAATTAAGCATTCCTTCCTTTCGAATATGGGAGGGCAATGACGCTCTAGAAAAGTGAGCCGATGAAGACCGTACTTCTTCCATCTCTGCATCAAGTAATCCGTATAAAACTCAAATGCATTAAAACAAAATCTTACATCAAAAGAGAGACTAAACACCATGAGATAAATCAATAAAAAACAAAAATTACTCTTGGATCTGTGCATGGCGTGTAGTCCTGATATTCTATGCTGCATACGGAAAATGTTACGCTTTTTGTTTGGAGAGTGCCGGTGGCCATTTTCTGGGTAGTATCATCAACCGCTTCAGCAGTGTCATTGGTTACATATTTGTTCTTTTCCGAACAAAAGATTCCACCAAGATAGAATGAAAATCCACATAGCACCAAAAACATTATTGCCATGGGGACCGCCCTGGAATTTTTATCGGGTGGAAATGGTTTTCCATCTTTGTGCTTCATGATCTCAGAATTTATTTATCTACTCACATACAAGTTATAAATTAGTCAGGAGTTGAGATCAATAAATTTACTCTCATCAAAAGGTAATGTAGTTATTTGTGAAATCACAAATTCGCAAAAGATATGTATGATTGGTGGAAAGGACAGCTCATTGTGAAGCTTGAAGAAATCTGGTCGAATGGCTGACTTAACAACTAAACAAGGAGCTTGTACCCAAAAAAAAAAAACACCAATGAACTTATTATACAAATCTGGTTCTGCAGCAGCGCTAACAATAATTGCTAGTCGAGGGAAAGATTTAGTTCAAGAGATATATCAGTTCTTGAATGGAAAGTTCAAGCTACACGTGAACTAGAACGGATTCCACAGAGAAAGAAAACGTAAGGTTTAAGCAGATCTGGTGGTGTGAGCCAATAAGAACTGGCTCTGAGGCCACTATGAAATATAAGATCTGATAGCACCCACGAACACGACTAAAGCTTTCAGCTTTTTACTAGATAATACTGGAACAAACCATTATGAAATTCAGCAGTCTTAACGAGGACCCATTGGCCACAAAATCAGTAAAAGATGGCAGGTAAAGAAAGAAAAAAGGAAAAGAAATCAATTCAATCAATATCGCATAACTCAAACTGGGAAAGAGCAACCTAAAGCACATGAAAGATAAAGCATCATTGCATACAAATTTATACACATGCATACAAGCATACAATTGGAAAATCAGCTGCAAATTTTTTTTTATCATTTCTTTCAATAAATAAAACTTGCAATAAATGATCCAATCAAATGATTTTTTATTTTTATTTTTTTGCAATAAACAATGAAAAAAAGATATGCATAAAAAATAATAAAGATCCAATATTTATGTTGCTTAATGATCAAATCTTTCACTGTAGAATTACCCAAACTTCAAGGCAAAGAGAAATTCCCTAGTCGAAAATCAGATCTGATTGCCAAAACCAAAGACAACCCTTTCAGAATGTAGGCCAAAATATAAAGAAAAACAAAAAGATAGGATAATCGGCAAATCAGAGTTTCAAACAAGAAACAGAGCAAAATATGAATGCAACTGATCACGTAAATCAGAATTAAGATCTGACCCACAAATGACATAGAAACAAGAGAATCATAGCCAAGAACAGGACTAAAATATAAATGTGGGGATAATGAGGGAATCAGAAAGTACCTACACCCTTAAGAGAGTATCAAACAAATGTGAAGAACAACTCTTTGCTTTGAAGAATCCAAGAACCCAACAAAATTTGGGGGTGGCAAAAGGAGGGATCCCTCCTATTCCTACACACACACTCTTGAAACAGAGAATCGATTTTAGGAGAGAATGAAAGAGAGGGACTTCAATCTGCTACCATACAGATTCACAGCCCCTACTTACACATATATAACTGCTAAAATGCATGTGTATTACATAGAGAGAGAAACTCTTGTACGTGATAGATAATGAACGACACTTTTCATTCCTTGTGCCTCGCTAGCTGTCTTCTTTCTGGATTATTTTTTATTGCAATTTTAAGGATTTTCTCTTTCCGTGTTCTCACTTATCTCTCTTATTGTGGGGGTGAATTTGGAGTGTGTAATAATAGCCGGGGAAAGGTGAGGAATGGAGTGATTTGTGTGGAAGGCTTTTGTTTCTTTCTCCTCTTTTTCCTCTTTCTTTTTTCTTTTTCTTTTTAAATTATTTTGGCTTTTATTTTTATTTTTTGGAAATTGATTACTAAATTAGACCCTAAAAAAGTAGAATAATATTGTCTAGTCTCACCGATGGTACACTTATTCTTCTCGACGTGCAATGTTTGTTGCCCAATGAAGAAGAGTCGCGTTGTGATTGCTAAGTATAAAACGGTTGAAAATAATAGTACTACATAACATTTCTCAATACGGGCAGGTCCAAGGAAAATCATTGAATTTCGGAACTAATTCAAAGGTTTATTTTTTGGTTAATGTGATTCGATAAAGTATTAAAATAGATAATGTCTTCCGTCCTAATCTCCCATTGCTCAACTATAAAAATCTCGTGTGAATCATTTGATGAGAAAACGAATTTTAAAAAAATAAAATAAAGTAGATATGCGTAAAGGCACAATTTTAAGTCATGTAAACTCGTACACACGGGGAGTAGAAATTAAAATAAGTCAACGCGATTTTAAGTCTTTGTTCATGTAACATTATTAGTAATTTAAAAATTGCTTCGACTATCTAGTCAAAATCAAATTTCAATTCTAACGGTATATTCAAAACTACTATTCATAATCCACAATTTCATGATCTTCACCCCGATTCTAAGAAACTCTTAAAATAGTATTATTCAATTTCAACTTGTTTTAAGAATTAAATTTTTAAACATTTTACAGAAATGCAAGTATCATAGAATTGATATTAGAAAATTAAAAAATGCTATGATAATTTATAATTTAGCTTGTGTTTGATTTAGTTAAAAAAAATATCAGATTTTTAATAGATTTTGATGAAATACGTGATTGAGAAATTGATTAAAAAATAATAAAAAATATATTTAAATTAATTTTATTTTTATTTTTATTTTTTATTCTTTTTTATCAAAATTTCATTCCAACATGGGGACATCGTGAATTATAAAATTTATAAATCCCAATTCACATGGTTTTTGAATCAGTGATCAATGGGCCACCATTTAGACAGTCAACGTGCTCTTGTTTTCTATTTTCTACGTAGTACCTTGTCGTCGGTGACTACGCTTTCTTTTTCAGAGGAAAAAATAATACAAAAATAAATAAATAAGTTGAAGCGACTCCTCTCGATTTATGAATATTGGTTAAGGACCATATTCAACGTTAATATTGAACATGAATAGTCATTGTTTATGCATAAATGACTATCAAATTATTGGTAAAAGAATATAAACTCGAGAAATTAGGTCCCGTTTGATTGTAAATATGGAAAATTGGTGAAAATAAAATGTTTTACAGGAAATTGAATTGTCTAGAAATTGTGTTACTGTGAATTGTAATTAATTATGTTTGATTTGTATAATTTTTCACCCGAAAAATGTTGAAAGTTTGGTATCCGTTTGATTTCGTTTTTTATTGAAAATGATCCATTAAAGTGATAATTTTTTATACCATTGGATCTACAATTTGTTCAAATTGTCAAAAAAAATTGAAAAAAAAATTATTATACCGAATACTATTCATTTGACTTTATTTTGCATGGAAATTGTCAATAACAATGAAAAAATTTTCTATCATTGTATTTAGAATTTTTTCCAATTGTCAAAAAAAAAAAAGCTGGAAAAAGTTTTACCACAACAAAGGCAAGAAAATCAATTCAATAATTAGGTGGAAAATGGGCGCATGAGGCTTCAACCAAGAAAACCAATTCCCTAGAAAATAAAACCTATCAAACACCACATTTGTTGGAAAAAGGAAAAAAATTTCCAACTTCTCTAGAAAATAATAGTTATCGAACAGGCCCTTAATGTAAAATTAGACATTCCTATCATGGTAAAATATCTACAAAAGGTCCATCGCACGTAGCTCCAAGTTACACTACCTTTCGCTTTAAAGGAGAATCGAAAAGAAAATGGAATTTAAGTACGATACAAAAACATTTATTTTTTCTAGTATATCTATTATGCTCTAACCTGACGTGTATTTGACCTTTGAATTCACATTTTCATTAACAGTTATGTCCCTGTTTGACACTCATTTTGAAGAAAAAATAAACTCTGAAATAGTGATTAGTAGAAGAATGTGTAATTAAAAAGTATTGAGAATTTTTGAGTTTATGTGTAGTATTATTTTATTGATAGAATGTGTGATTGAAAATTGGTATCAAACAGGGACTATATGTACGCGATTCTACATTACCGAGGACGAGAACTTCGTGACTATGAATTACCGTATTTACCCTTTTTGCTTACTTTACCTCAATGCTTACTAAAGATAGATCATGCGTATTTGAACTTTAATAATAGTAGAAATAAAAAGTTTGTGCCTCGACATAGAGATTTCATTTGAAGCTGGACCAAGTTGCGATGTCATTTCAATCACTAAATTTTGTTGCATCATCATGTGGAAAACAAATCAACTGGTATGCGTGGTCCATGAGCTTTTGTTACGCGGCATTGGAATCTTTGGCCTTTCACTAAAAATTATATTTTTAGTAAATTAAAAAAAAAAATTATGAAATATGTGATTGAAAAATTGATAAAAATTATAAATTCGTATCGAAAATTAATTATTGACTTGATTTAAATTTTTTATCGATTTTTTAACTACACGAAACAAGGACATATTGTGCGCTTCCGCACGAGCCTAAAGTAGATGGGGAAAGAAAAGTAAAAAAATGTATACTTTTGACATTCAACCATGGCATGTACATGATTTGATATGTGCATTTAAGGAAGTTACATGTGAAATAGTTTTTTTTTTTTTTTTTTT